ACTAAACAACAGTTTGTTTAGCGACCGTTCAAAGTTGCAACGGCATTGAAATATGTGACTTATGACCATTTTCCATAGTTACGACCTTTGCAGCATCGCCATGGTCATGTGATCAAAATTCGCAGGCTTGGCAACTGACTCATCTTTACGACAGTTGCAGCGTCCCAAGATAGTGTGATCCCCTTTTGCGACCTTCGGACGAGCAAAGTCAATGGGGAACACAAGTTCATTTAACCCACTGAGTTACTAACTTATCAACTGCAGTGATTCATTTAACGACTGTGGCAAAAAATGTTGTAAAATGGGGCAAACCTCACTGAACAAATGTCTTATTTAATGACAGAAATTTGAGGCTCAGTTGTGGTCTTCAAGGACTGCCTGTAACTAGCAGATGAGTGTGGATAATCTTCCTTTCTTGTGGATGTTTTAAATCCCCTGCAGACTAACTGCTTTGGATCTATACTTTTGCCTCTTTTGAGGTGCATAATCTTCACAAACATCTTTGTTTGACTGTCAGAAGCTTTTCTTGGCCAGCTAAGTCCTCGTAACGTGACGTGGAAAAGTCAACATCAAATGACTTTTAATTCCTCAGTTTTTTTGCCTGTTAAGTTTCTTCAAAACTGGAGCCGGTGCAAGAAATGGCCTTTAACAATAAATGGTTTATTGTCACGGAGAATTTGACTTTCCTTGGGACACTTTTTAATATTTCTTTTCACGGCAGCCTGTCAACTTTGTTTTTCTGGAGGCACAATATTGCCTTTTAACTCCACTTAAATGTCATTTTATAGAAGCGGAGAGCAACACAACTCTCTAGGGATTCCCACACTTCTCGGCAGACATTAGTATTCTTAATCCCGCTTTTGCACACTTGAGACAATTATGTGAGATGTGGGTTTCAAATGCATTTGATTCCCCATTTTTTTTTGTGTGTGTGTGTTTGAATAAGTTTTAAATGACTTCATTTTTATCGATTCTCTTCTCCCTTTTTGTAATAGAATAAACCCAGATTAATGCACATGATTGTTTTGTTGAACAATTGTATAATAATAAACTCACATTACTTTGTTTTTTTAAAAAAATTCTGATCAGTCCTAAGAGCCTTTAATTAGAGTATTTTAGAACAGAGAGATGCACAGTTTAAATCATTTACGTATTTGCCCTTAGATCAGTGGTTCTCAACCTTTTTAATGCCGCGACCCCAACCGGTTGTAAGTCGAGGACTAAACCGGTCGTAAGTCGAGGACTAAACCGGTCGTAAGTCGAGGACTACCCAACCAGTCGTAAGTCAAGGACTTTCCCTGCCTGGGAGCGCCGTGCATGCGTGGTTCCGCCCCCGGCGCCGGCCGAGGCGTAGCTGGCAAGCAGCAGAGATGGAGCAGGCCAACCACCAGCTGGCCCAGCCCAAGGGAGGTAAGGCACCCGCTGGAAAAGGGGAAAAATTGGCGGACAAAAAAAATGGCGGACAAAAAAATGGCGGACAGCCTTGCTTGGCGACGCCCATGAAATGGTCGATCGACCCCAAATGGGGTCCCGACCCACAGGTTGACAACCACTGCCTTAGATTATGTTGCTTTTTAAAAAAAAACAGCCTCCAAGACAGCGGCCACATAAAAATGCAAACTGATTGTGGAAGTTTTAATGTCCCTGTTCTTTGCACGCAACATCTTTTTCTTTTATAAAACAAACTCATCAGAAGAAAAATACAACGAAAATAAAATCTTGTCTGAATTATCTCAGTCCTGGTTAATGCTACTAGCAATAAAATACACTTCTTAAAAGTTTTCAGAGGTCGATATGTAGACATCTATTTTTTAACCTAAAATAGGATTTTTATGTACAGATAATCCTTGTCTTACGGCCACAGCTGAGCCCAAAATGTCTGTTGCCAAGTGAGGTGATTGTTAAGTGACTTTTGCCCCATTTTACGACCTTTCTTGCCACCGTTGTTAAGTGAGTCACGGCAATTGGTAAGTTAGCAACCAGGTTGTTAAGAGAATCAGGCTTCCCCATTGACTTTGCTCGTCAGAAGGTCGCACAAAGGGATCAACGTGACTCTGGGGACACCGCGACCGTCATAAATACGAGTCGGTGGTCAAGCGTCTCAATTTTGATCGTGTGACCGACGGTCGTTAAGTGCGAAAAAAGGTCACACGTGACTTTTGTCAGTGATGTTGCAACTTTGAACAGTCACTAAATGAACCGTTGTAAGTCGAGGACTGCCTGTTTCTCGGAGAAGCTAAAATCACCTTTTTGAGTTGAATATAATTCCTCACGGACAGGTGGTTCTGTTTGCAATAATAAAAAGCACTTTATTCCAAGAGTATTTTCAACTTTCCAAGCTAATATACAGTTCTTGGGATTCCTGATCTTGCTTAGGTACCGACTCTAGACAAATTTTACCCCCTTCCCTCCTAATGTATTTATTAATCAAAAATTACAAATAACTTTATTGTGGTCACTAACCAGCAGAAAGAAAAAAAATATCCATGTTCTGGATACAGGGAGTCCTTGACTTACAAGAGTTTGTTTAGTGACAGTTTAGTGACAGATAGGGTTTCCTGCCTGAGCAGGGGGTTGGACTAGATGACCTCCAAGGTCCCTTCCAACTTTATTATTATTATTATTATTAGTTTGAAGTTACAGTGGCATTGAACAAAGGGACTTACGACCATTTTTCACACTTACGACCGTTGCAGCGTCCCCGGGGTCACATGATCAAAATTCAGACGCTTGGCAAACAACTCGTATTTATGACGGTCGCAGCGTCCAGGGGGTGTCACGTGATCCCCTTTGGCGACCTCCTGACAAGCAAAGTCAACGGGGGAAGCCAGATTCACTTAACAACCGGGTTACTATCTTAACAACTGCAGTGATTCACTTAACAATCGTGGCAAAGAAAGTTGTAAAACGGGGCAAAAGTCACTTAGCAAATGGCAACAGAAATTTTGGACTCAGTTGAGGTCGTAAGTCAAGGAGTACCTGATTCAAAAACCATTTTCTCCTCTTTTTTCTTTCTGCTGGTTAATGATTGCAAAAAAGCTATTGGAAATTTGAAATTTACTCAAAGCTACAAGGTGTTTTTTTTCCCTCTGGAAAAAAAATCTGCAGATACCCCCTAGCGCAGGGGTAGGCAACCTTGGCTCTTTTAGGACTCGTGGACTTCAACTCCCAGAATTCCCTAGCCAGCCACGCTGAGGGGAAAGGAAGAGGTTTCCAAGTTGAGCCATGCTGGCTCAGGAATTCTGGGAGTTGAAGTCCACAAGCCATAAAAGAGCCGAGGTTGCCTACCCCTGCGGGGCCTAGCACATGAAATATGACGAAGACCAATGATTAACATTGCAGCATGCAGATATTTACACGTAGAAGGCCACATACAAGGGAAAAGCAACATTATCTCATGCATCACACCATAGAAGAAACCAGGTCCCAAATGAATATATCTTTTTTTCTGCATTCATGCATGGAAAATCAACACTAACAATTTCCAGATAGTTCTACTGGGAAAAATAGCATATGCAGCTGATCCCCTTTTGTTTTGTTTTATTCGATAAAGGTGTATTCCTACTCCTCTTCCCATTAAAAAAGCGCATTAAAGCCAGAGCAATTAAAATCAAATTAAAAAAAAACTCTCTCGTGAAATAAAAGCTAATAAAAATACTAGGAAAAAAAAAGTCTAGCAAGTTCCAAACAAGCATCGAAAGAGAAATAAAATAGGCATTGTGGGAACCTCCGCGCATGAAAAATTTTTCAAAATATTTGATTGTAGAAAGGACTTGCATCAGCAGCCAACTAATCTGCAGGCTTTTCCCCCAAAAAATTATATGCAAATTTGTTAGTGGAAAAAATGGGAGTGGGAACGATTTAGTCATTAAAAAAAACCCCATCCTAAGAATAACAGGATGCCTCTGTGTAGTTAAGGTATCCTCTCCTCCGTAATGTTGCATTTAATGACAATTTGGTAGGCGGGAGTGTCAAATTGAGTGCCCTTGTAATTGTATTTATTTTGCCAAAATAAGAAGCATATAATCATATAAGAAAAACATGTATCTCAGCAAGGATAATACTGCACCAGTTTGGTATAGCAGTACAAGTAATCTTTGACTTACAACAGTTCATTTAGTGACCGTTTGAAGTTACAGCAGCGTTGAAAAAAGGGACATGACCGTTTTCACACTTATGACCAGTGCAGCATCTCCATGGTCACGTGATCAAAATTCAGAATTTTATGACGGTCGCAGTGTCCCCTTTTGCAACCTTCTGACAAGCAAAGTCAAGGGGGAAGCCAAATTCACTTAACAACGGTGTTATTAACAATTGCACTGATTCACTTAACAACTGTGGCCAGAAAAGATGTACAAGGGCCCAAAACTCACTTAAAAACCATCTCGGTTAGCAATAGAAATCTTGGGCTCAGTTGTTGTTGTACTAATGTTTACTGTAGGGAATGGGGTGGAAAGGAAGTGAGTCCAGATGTCAGGAATTAGTCTTTCTGGAACATTCTTTCATCCTCTGAGGGAAAAAAAATATGGACGTGGTAGAAGAAAGATCCATATAATGGATCTTTCTTCTACCACCTCCATATTTTCCCCCCCCAGAGGATGAAAGAATGTTCCAGAAAGATGAATTCCTCTGAGAGTCTTTCTGGAACATTCTTTCATCTTCTGGGAAAAAAATATGGACGTGGTAGACGAAAGATCCATTTATAATGGATCTTTCTTCTACCACCTCCATATTTTTTTTTCCCCTCAGAGGATGAAAGAATTTTCCAGAAAGATGAATTCCTCTAAGAGTCTTTCTGGAACGTTCCTTCAGGATGGAGACAAAGAGGAAACGCCACTGCATAAGCAAACATTTTCCCTCCCAGTCTTTTTTGCAGCATTACTTCCGTGCAACACCAAACACAGTACAGCTATTTCGAAATGGGAGGACCACTAAATCGACAGCCACAACCACAACCACAATGACAATGAAAAAAACCAACAAAAAAAGAGGAAACCCACCATATTCTGGGACCTGTCCAGTTCCACGTTTTAGTAACAACCGTACTCTTCGGCCACCGGATTTGATGAGTTCTATTGCTCTGGTGTGGGTCATGTCTCTTGTACTTTCCCCGTTGATTTCAATAATTTGGTCGCCCACCTGCCAGGTTGGGACAAAAAGGAAACCACGTTAGTCCTCGTAGACACAGCATTTCACACATGAGCACCACAGCGATTAATTCACACACTGCTAAGTTCATTGAATCTGGATTTTCGCCCTGCTGCTTAACGGATTAAAGTTCTACGTATCTCAGTCTACCTGCTCCTCCTCTTCTTTCTTATTGTGGCTATTTGGAGTCTCACATCCAAGGTGAATCTTCCAGGAGCCACAATTTGGTGGCGAAAACTAGCCTAAAAGAGACAAACTTGCCGAGTCACCTCGTGATCTTCCAGAACTGACTTAACAGAGTAACAGAGTTGGAAGGGACCTTGGAGATCTTCTAGTCCAACCCCCCCCCCAGCTCAAGCAGGAGACCCTATACTATTTCAGAAAATGGTTGTCCATTCTTTTCTTAAAAACCTTCAGTGTTGGAGCCTTGACAACTTTTGGAGGCTAATTAATTGTTCCCATTGTCAGGAAATGTCTCCTTAATTCTAGGTTGCTTCTCTTTTTGGTTAGTTTCCATCCGTTGCTTCTTCTCCTGCCCTCTGGTGCTTCGGAGAACAGCTTGACTCCTCTTCTTTGGGGCAGCCCCTGAGATACTGGAAGACTGCTATCATGTCACCCCTCATCCTTCTTTTCATTAAACTAGACATACCCAATTCCAGCCACCGTTCTTCATATGTTTTAGCCTCCAGTCCCCTAAGTCATCTTTGTTGCTCTTCTCTGCACTCTTTCTAGAGTCTCAAGATCTTTTTTATAGCACGGTGGTCAAAACTGATTGCAATATTCTTGAATTTGAATGCTCCTAGTCTTGGTCCAACACCTCATCCAATCCACCCCATTGACTTCTGCAAAACTATTTACATTGCAATGACCTCAGGAATGTAATTGGAACCTCAGGAATCTATTGTGTGGTGGCTCTATTGTGTAGAGCTGCAGCCTCAGTCTGTTTCTGAAAATGAAGTTAAGACATCTCACAAATGCAGGAAGAATAATCACTGAGTAGAATATGAAGAACATATGAAGGAAGCTTGCAGGAACTGGGTATGGCTAGTTAGAGAAAAGAAGGACTACGGGTGACCTGATAGCAGTCTTCCAGTATCTGAGGGGCTGCCACAAAGAAGAGGGAGTCAAGCTATTCTCCAAAGCACCTGAAGGCAGGATAAGAAGCAACGGATGGAAACTAATCAAGGAGAGAAGCAACCTGGAACTAAGGAGGAATTTCCTGACAGTGAGAACAATTAATCAGTGGAATGGCTTGCCTTCAGAAGTTGTGAAGTTCCAGTGCTTCATCACTTGAGGTTTTTAAGAAGAGACTTCTCAGAAATGGTATAGGGTCTCCCGCTTGAGCAGGGGGAGTAGAAGATCTTCAAGGTCCCTTCCAGCTCTATTCTGATTGATCAATTGAAGAGTTCAGAATCTCTTTAAGTAAACATATTGTTCCACCCCGTTTGCGTTTCCCCGAATCAACACTTGTGTTTCAGTGGTACCATACACTGAAGGGCCTGCTCGCACACACCGCCCTTCTGCAATTCTGCAAGTCCAGTGTAAGTTGCATCTTAATTACACTTTCCTTTCCTTTTGTTTTTGCATTCAGAAGGAAGTGTGGCCGCCATTCAGCTTAATTCAGATTCATCAGCCATGCAGTGAGCTATGAAATTGGGCGGCTGGCTTTCTGACAACAATGAGCAGATAATATTCGGAGGGAACATCTAAATGACATGATTATTGATAGGCTAATTACAAAGAAAAATATAAATCTTTAAGAAACCATTATAATAAAGGGTACTTGGAGGGGGGGGGACAAACATTTAGAGGTCCTTCAAAATATTTCTTCTATATGTAGGCAAATCATTTATACTGTTCTGATGGAGTTCTCTCAATACGATCAAGAAATGTCTATTGACTCTCTTTAACAAGCCAGATCTTCCCAGCCAAACCAGATCTTCCCTTTATTGATGCAAGGCAATTCCAGCTTCCTGGTCACATTTTTTTCTGGCATTTTGTTTGCATTTCATGAGACGCACAAAAAAAATTTCTCAGTACAAGGCAGAGCAAACATGCTATCGGCAAGGACTGTAATGGTATAATTTTGATCTGTGTATTGCAAGCAAAACCAAAACACATTTTTATTCCAAGCATACTTACACTACTCTGTACGTGTAGAGCTACCGATAGATATAATGCTAATATTCTATTCTATTCTATTCTATTCTATTCTATTCTATTCTATTCTATTCTATTCTACTCTATTCTACTCTACTCTATTCCATTCCATACTCTACTCTACTCTACACTCTACTCTACTTTACTCTATTCCATTCCATTCCATTCTATATTCCAATATCTATTCTATTCTATTCTATTCTATTCTATTCTATTCTATTCTATTCTATTCTATTCTATTCTATTCTATTCTACTCTACTCTATTCTACTCTACTCTACTCTACTCTACTCTACTCTACTCTACTCCATTCCATTCCATACTCTACTCTACACTACACTCTACTCCATTCCATTCTATATTCCATTCTATATTCCAATATCTATTCTATTCTATTCTATTCTATTCTATTCTATTCTATTCTATTCTATTCTATTCTATTCTACTCTACTCTACTCTACTCGTCTTCCCCTTGTCGTGACTGTGGTGCTAATATGCAAACATATTGTGCATGATTGCCCACAACGTGCATTCTCTGGTTCCGTAGAGGATCCAGAGGCGATAGTCTGGATACTGAATTGGATATTAAGTTAGGAGGCCACTGCCATATCCCCATAGATGTTTTATATATAATTATGTGGGTTGTGTATATATATTTGCTTCTCTTCTATTATGTTCTCATCTTTCCTAAAGAATAATGAATTAAAACCTTGCCCCTCCAATAGCCCTGAAATGACAAAACAGATTTTAACATCTCAGTAAATATTTTCAGCAGATGTCCCTGGTTCACCTCAGATGTTTCCAAATAATTCAAAATAATTACCCAAGCTTCGTTTAAAGTTTAAACTTTAAACCAAGGATGCTGCATGTCATTCCTGAATGAGCAAAGTTCGGCCAATCACCCAAATTCATTCCAGGTGGACTATTTCCCGGCCACATCAGAACAAAATGTAATTATGTGCGTGGGCTTCCAGCCTCTGTTAAGTGGCAACTTTTAATGATCAAAACAGCCTCTGATTGTGCACCCAGGGTACCATTGTCTGCCAATTTAATGCATTTCCATAATTAAAGCTCCTGGAACAGACTAATTGCCTGTGCAGAAAATGACATTGTCTTTCTAAATGTGGATTGTAATTTCTAGACAAATTGTTTGGGTATCTTTTCCTTCCCCCATCCTTCCCGTTGACAGAAAGAGAGGGCAAGGCAACTTGTGGTGTTTGGGAAAGTCTGCTCACATGTGGGCTTATAACAAAAACTAAACATAAGTTACCTAACATAGATTAAGTTAGCATGGTTTTACAATCCACCTCAAATACTACAACTACTCCGTACTACTCCATCACCGGAAGCTTTTAAGAAGAGATTGGACAGCCATTTGTCTGAAATGGTAGAGGGTCTCCTGCTTGAGCAGGGGGGGTTGGACTAGAAGACCTCCAAGGTCCCTTCCAACTCTGTTGTTCTGTTCCGTTCTAAAATTACCAAGCTCGGAGAGCACCAAGACCCATACAGTTGAACCCTGAACTGCAAATAGTAGCTCAGGTCAAAATATTTGCGACCCAGCCATTATGAGATGCAAAACGGACTAAAATTATCTGCGTTCGGAAATATTTATCAAATTTAGACATCAATTTAATGACTCTGAGAGTGAAAAACCATTCTGACTGACTTGTGCGCTCTGCATTATTGTCACACCAGAGGTCCCAAGTCCTCAGCTCCTTCTGACCATCAAGTGGTTGCTCACCCTGTTCTAGATAGCCTGAATGAAGCGATGGCTCCATTCCTTCAGGGGTTGTTAAGGATCACAAACGCTAAAGTGTGGGAAGCACCCCGAGTCTTTATTATTAGAAGGAATCCATGCTATTCTTCTTCATTGCTATATATAATGGGGACAAAGGAGAATAGGGCTACATTATGTCCTAGGACAGGTGTGGGGAACCTTGGCTCTTTTATGACTCGTGGACTTCAACTCCCAGAATTCCTGAGCCAGCCATGCTGAGGGGAAAGGGAGAGGTTTCCAAGCTGAGCCATGCTGGCTGAGGAATTCTGGGAGTTGAAGTCCACGAGTTATAAAAGAGCCAAGGTTGCCTACCCCTGGTCTAGGTTCTCCTGCTTGAGCAGGCTTGTTTTTAAAGATCAGACATAGCCTAGTTCAGGGGTAGGCAACCCTGGCCCTTTTATGACTCGTGGACTTCAACTCCCAGAATTCCTGAGCCAGTGTGGTTCAGCATGGAAACCTCTCCCTTTCCCCTCAGCTCGGCTGGCTCAGGAATTCTGGGAGTTGAAGTCCACGAGTCATAAAAGAGCCAAGGTTGCCTACCCCTGTCCTAGGGTGTAGTTTTGGTACTAAGCCTGCAGTGAGCTGGTTAGAGCCTTACAAATTAAGCAACAGAACAAAGCAATGATAGTTCTCTTGTGGGTTTTGTGTCTCTGTGCTTAAGCTGCATCCCATTATCTCATTGAGAATTATTATACTATTGATGTTAAGTTTAGTGGACATTAACCAGTAGTTTCCTGTCCAAGTAGGATGATTAAACCTTATTTGGATGATTTTCCTTAACTAGGAATGCTTTAAAAAAAAAGTAGAGGAATTATCTGGGAAGCAAAAAAGTTTAGGAAGTCCCCATGTCATACAACAGAGAACCCAGAACATAGAATAACAGAGTTGGAAGGAACCTTGAAGGTCTTCTAGTCTGACCCTCTGCTCAAGCAAAAGGCCCTAACCAGGGGTAGGCAACCTTGGCTCTTTTAGGACTCGTGGACTTCAACTCCCAGAATTCCTCAGCCAGCGTGGCTCAGCTTGGAAACCTCTCCCTTTTCCCTCAGCGTGGCTGG